AGAGAGAGAGAGAGAGAGAGAGAGAGAGAGATAGAGAGATGGAGAGATGGAGAAAAACAGACTCGTGTTCACTAGAGACGGGGTGATGGGCAGCTCAACACAGACTGAACTTGAACTTCTGGGTGCAACACAGACAACCAAACTCCCTCTTCTGCTCTCCCCTCACCCAGCCAGAATTGGACTCTTACCTGGGCACAGATCCTGGTGAAGGAGGCAGACATCCAGTTGGATGTAGTGCCTGGGACTTTAAACCTCACAACAGCTCAATTCTGAGAGCTCACAGACTCAAGATAGCAGTGCTGGAAGCAAGGCCAGGTCTGGTTCAGGGACAGAATGGTCCCCTCATCACAGCACTGCTCCAAGGGGTTGCAGATTTGGTCCCCACGCCTGGGTACTGGCTGGAACATCCACAGTCCAGCCTCTGGACAAGCCAGAGCAGAATGGGCTCCAAAGACCAGTCTACAACCTTTGGGACCTCCCAATCCCATCCACAGTGCCACCTCTTCCCAGCTCCCTGCACCTATACTCACCTGTGACTCCTTCTGAATTTGAGTACAGGAGATCCAAAATGAAGACAGCCACTGAGAAGCAGGAGAATGAGAATAATGCTGTAGAGTGGCCTTTCAGTCACCGTCATAGGGCATCGGGTGATGTTAAAGAGCCTCTTTCCTTGTTGGTAACAGCTCTGAGTAGGTTTCGAGATGGACTCTGGGGGGCAGAGAGGGCTCTGGGAAAAGCTACGATTCTGACATCTGCACGTTGGGATACAGATCGCCATTCAGTCAGAGGTGCCACAGGGGTGATTACAGGGCGGGAAGCCAAGAATTGATTAGGAAAGAGAGAATTAAGTTTGATGTTCAGAGGTGTGATAACGCCGAAGCTGGATTTGGGGCCGGAGTCCTCTTCTCAAAGATTCTGGGCACCATGGTTCTTGGTTACCCTCCAGAACTGGGACTGGGGCCATGTACTGTGACTTCTACATCACAGGTGACTTATCATCTCACATTACAACAGAAACTCAGCGCGGCTAGAAAGGGAGGAGCGTGAAGAGTCATAGTTACGTATAAAAAAAACAAACCCACATTAACATATTTCTGAAACTGCGACATATGTCTGAATCAGTTCCAACTGGCTGCCACTTTCCCATAGATCTTCAAACCTCAGGGTAAATAATGTCTTGGAACCTTTCAGAGTTGCAATGTGTCTTTTTCTTTGAACACTACCGAAGGGGAAGCCCAATTGGAAAAGACTTTTTGGCATGTTGCCCACCAAACACTGGCTTTCTCTAGACTTCTTATACTTCTCCACCCTGGCAATTTCAAGGGGTCCCTTTACACCCCTATACAACTCACCTCCAGACCTGCCCTGTTTATGATTCTTCAGAGTTCTATATGGAAAATTATGGAGTTGCGGTGTGACCTGGGAGACCAGAGGCTGCAGGAGCTCTGCTAGAGATAAGGAATAGATGGGATTCATCGAACGGACTGAAAGGTGACATCTTGCACAGTGCCTTGTCCAAAGAAAGGCTCCATCCCTGTTTCTTAGTATTATTGTATTGTCACTATCACTGTTATTTCAATGAGATAATAAGTGGGGTGTTATTCGATGTGCCCCTCTGTTCCCTGTTGGTTTCCTCCCCATGTCACCGTGAAAATCTTCGAGACCTTGTAAAAGCTTACAGTGTCTGGGAGAGACTTCTTCTTCTTCTCTTTAAGTGTATGTGCAATATTTCAGTGTAAGAGCTTAATGGACAAATGCCTATTTGCCCTCCTCTCTTAATTTGGTAGGTGTGTGTTTGTGTGGGTTCGTATTTGTGTCAGCCGCTTTCCATAATGTTTCCTCCTGTCTGCGGAGACTCAAGACCCATTTCCACAGGACAGCTGCTGGAAAACAGCTGGAAGGAACGTGTTCATGTTTCCTAAACTAATAAGCTTGATGCTCCATTCGTAGTTCTGAACCTACGAGCAAGGAATTTCTGACTAATAGAAAGCCCTAGATAAACAGTACAACTGACTATGAAACATAATCATAAAGGATATTACTAGAAGAATTCATCTCTGTGCGATGTCATCATCCACATAGAAATCCCATGGAAGCTGCCGTCAAGCCAGAGGCAAGGCTGGTAGATTCAGCCAGTAACAAGACAGCAAGCCCTTTTTATATTCAGTTTATTATCTACATAGATAGCGAAAGTAAGACCAGCCACAGGTGCCAGCTCCCCGTGTCCCTTGCACAGGGTGACACCGAAATGAAAGGGTCCAGATGAGTGCAGCATGGATGACAGGAGACCCCGTTGCGGTGCAGACAATGCTATACTTCCGCTGAGCAGTTTTAAAACCTGCAGGTCAACAACCCCAGGGGGGTGCAGTAGAAAGCTTCATACGTTGTCATCACCCATTGGGAGATTGCAAGGAGAAACATTTTTAGGACAGCATCTCTGAGAGAGAGAGAGAAGCAGTGAGAACAACTTTATGGCAGCTCTAAGCCTCCCATTCTCTCCGTCCTAGGAGGATTAGAGCATCCCACCAAGACTAACTGCACTGGAACTGATCGCTGACATTGCAAAGATTGTAGGATACAAAGTCAACAACAAAAAAGTCAAATATTTCTAGAGACTAGTATTAACAATTGGAAATTGGAATTTAAAAGAACAGTACCATTTACCACACTTCCCATTAACATACTTAGGGATGAGTCTAATAAAAACATGTACAGGATGTATATGCAGGAAACTACAAATAACAGATGAAATCGAAGAAGAACTAAATAAATAAGGAGAAGAAGAAGAACTAAATAAATAAGGAGACTTATTCACAGTATATTGGAAAACGCAGTATAAATATAGTTAAGATGTCACTTTTCCCTAAATTAATCAATGGCTTTAACTCCACCGCAGTCAAGGTCCCAGCTGAAAGTTTTGGAGGAACAGACAAGCTAATTCTAAAATTTGAAGGAAAGGTGACGTAAACTAGAATAGCCAAAACGATTTTGAGAGGAAGAAATGTTGGTGGACTCGTGCTACCGAATTTTAAGAATTACTCTAAAGTAATTCTTAAATTACAGTAATCAAGACGGTGGAGTATTGGCTCATGCATAGACATATAGATCAGTTGAACAGAATACAGGTTAAAAATAGACCCACACAACTATGGCCATCTGATTTGTGACAAAGATGCAATGGCAATTCATTTGGGGAGGTAGTGTCTCTTCAATAAATGATAGTAGAAGAATTAGGCGTTCATATGCCGAAGGGAAAAGGAACCTGTAACTTAACTCACTTTTCACTTTTTATATAGAATTTATCTCAAAATAAAGCCAAATGTAAAATCTAAGACTCTAAGTTTTAGAAAAAAGGATGGAGACTATATTTGTGGCCTGGAGACATGACATCAGAAACACAATATATAATGAAAAACATTGATAAATTGCACTGTCGACATCTAAAACTTTTTGGAGAAATATTTGCACATCACCTAGCTGACGTAGGACTTGTATGCTGAGTATCCAAGTATATGAAAAGTAGATCTCCAGGATACGCAAGGATATAGAAAGTTATCAAAAGTGAACAGTAAGGAACTAATTGACAAAGACGGGCAAAAGATGATTAGCGCTTTCCCAGAAGGCTGTAGAGATGGCAGATAAGCACATGAAAAGATGCTCAACATCATTAGCCATTAGGGAACTGCATTTTAGGACCACAGTGAAACCCCTCCTCATATTTAGTAGAATGTAAAACTAACACAGTATGGACAATACTATGTGCTGGGAAAGATGCTGACAAATTGGATCTCTCACACATCACTGCTGGAAATGCAAAACTATCCGGCACTCTGGAAAACAGTTCGGCATTTGCTTATAACATTAAAGATTCATTGACCATATATGACTCAGCGCTCACATTCCTGGGCATTTATCCTAGAGAAACAAAAGCTGATGTTTCCACACACAAAACATTAGATGAATGGTGATTACAGTTTTATTAGTAATAGCCCCAAACTCAAAACAACCCAAATGTCCATCAGCAGGCGAGTTGATAGACAAGCTGTGAAATATCCTTATGATGGAACACTACTCAGCAATACAAGAAAGGAAATATTGATACACTCAACAACTTGAGTCATGAAGGCATTATGCCTGGAAAGATTACACGTAAAGCAATTTCATTTAGGTAATATCCAGTTCAGGCAAACTATAAAGATGGAGAACGGATTGTGGTTGCCAGGTGTGGGAGGAAGATGTGACCACAAAAAGACTTCATGAGGGTTTGTGGGGGGTTTTGTTGGTGGGGATGAAAGAACTCTAATAAGAAGAGACAGCATCTGTAGTGCCAGACGAATCAGAAGGGTTTGTAAACGTGGACCATTGTTATGGCCGGTAGTAGCTGCTGCCTACTTCCACCTAGAAACCTCACGCGAGCAGTCCATTTACGAAGTGAAGTAAAATTCTCTCTGACTTTGCAGGGTAGGGTATTCTTCACTATATTAATTATTACACCGACTTGATGACGTGGAGAGCCAAGAGAGATAACATGAGTCAAAACTGTTGTGTGAAACTTTTACTTTGGGCAGGAGTCCAGGGAGGAGGATGGCGAATCCTATATCAGATTTTCCTCTGACTGGATCTGTCTTGGGCTTGTTTTGTACACGTTGAAAATAATCTCTCAACTTCTCTACACTTCCCTGAGTGATTAGCCCACTTGGGTGGTGGGTCTGTCCATACCTGGTGGCATTAATTACCCAGATCCAATTTAGATCCTATTTTTAGTAATTCAATTGCATTTTATTTGCATATATTGTACAGATATTTTTTTCTTTGTCATACAGTGTTGTTCTTACTTCAGGTTCCCATAGCCAATATCGAGTTAAATGTTGACTTCTAAGTACAGTAGCTGTTTTCAGTGCTTTATATCCTGTGGCAACTGCTGATGGACTGTTAGATTTTTAAAGAGTATTTTTGGTGACATTTGTGGCAATTACTTGGAGTTGTTGAGTAAGCAAGAATTGGATCATTATTTTTGCCATTTGAAAGAACAGAATCCAAATTCTCATGTTCTGAAACATTTCTATCCAACACATTTCCCAAAACGCGCTCAATTCCGGGAATATGCCCGCAATCCCGTTTCTCTGGTATCTACAAATAGGTTTACTTTATTGGAGGCTTATAAGTCCTGACATGAAGGAGTATTGTTATTTCACTGTGTTTGAAGATGCTAATGAAGGTCTGAGACATTGTCATTTGCTCCAGATCCACAGCTTGTAAACGATGGAGCTGAACCCCTAAGGTCACGGAAGGGAATTATGAGCACACTCTTTTCAAACTATGAAGAGGTGAAAACCAGAAACTGGTAAAAGCACTGGACTCGGGAGTATGAATGGAGATGGGGTCAAAGGAGAGGAGGAAGACTTTCATTTTTTGAATTAAAAACAAAAAACAAAAAACACGTGCCGTAAATTTTCGCCTATATGTGCATTCTTTTGAAAACTTAAAAAGAATCTGTTTCAGACAAGTAAACAGGAGAGTCACCACCTGGCATGATAAGCGCAATTGTAGAAGTAAGTACAAGAGCCCTGGGGACAGAGAGCTTGGGTCTTATTCTTTATCACTGGGGGGCGGGGGCAGAGGGCAGGGCTGGATGCAGGTGGGA